AGAGCCAGTACTACAGGTGTATTGTCGGTAAATATGCACTTATCGGCATGATCTCGAAACGCTTTAAGGTCAATAGATTGGATAATAGTGTATCTAGCCAATGCAATGCGAAATATAGCCGCAGAGGGCACGATTGCGCTGTTTCGACGAAATGACCCGTGACCTGCTGGTAGGGTGGCGGATTCACTATGGGCAAAATGCTTTGACGATTTGACCATCATTCTGAATTGTCCCTACCTATTGTGAACGGAGGAAGTACTGATTTATGGCACTTTCTTCAAATCGGCTTTCAAGATAAAATGTTGAGATGTGACAGTCGTGAAATGAGTGTGTAATGGTTGGCCGGAATGCAGACCACAGCTCCCCTCCACTCTACTCAGCGCATTCGCAAGACAGACACCCCATACGCAGCTATGATGCTATATTTCGTTGTTTTGATAACCACTGCGACCCTCCTGGCAACTACCAATGTGGCATCCGCAACTGAGGCTCCACAAACGTCGATACTAGTCACTCAGTCTGTCGTACTATCGAAAGGTGGAGCTCCAGGCGACCTCGCCTCCATGAGGCGTTTGAGAACCAACAAGGCAGCGGCTGAGGACACCACGAGCACCGAGGAGCGAGGAATTGCGTTTTCTGGCATTGAAAAACTGGTTACATCCAGTGCCAAAAAGGCCCAATTAAAGCTATGGCTTACCCAAAAGAAATCTGCAGACGTCACATTCAACCTCTTGAATCTTGCACGCAAGAAGAACTTTTATTCGGAAGCAAGGAGTTCTTGACGTGGGCCAAGTACGTGACCAAGCTAAAGAAAAACGATGCGGGTATCGTCATGATCAACACTTTGTTGAAACATTACGACGAAGGCACTCTGGCAAGATTGATTGCGGGTATCAAGACCTCGAATTCGCCCACTATGCAAAAGCTTGCGACCACTTTGCAGGAGGCACAGTTCACTAAATGGATGAAAGAATCGAGACGTCCTGTTGCCGTCGAAGCGAAACTACATGCGCTAGGCCGAGGAATGTATTACAAGATGGACGATGAGATTGTAAACGCGTACAGATACTTCATCGGGGCAGCATGATCAGATAATTGATGAAGAGACTGGAGGCGAGCATACTATACAATTCGCTGATCGAGAGTAGCTGGGTGTTCGCTCTTTAGCTTAGACAATAGGTAGTTAAGGTCTCCTTAGGTAAAGACAGCCGTGGTTGACTGAAACAAAAACCAAATTGAATTACGATGATGTTATTAATTGCACTATGATTCCTTTTAAAGACCCACCTAATGGTTTGGTGGTAATCCTCAAAATCACTCCTAATTACACTGGGAATTCACGTTCCGATTCTGCAATGCTTAATAGTATTAACTAGCCCTGTTTTAATGGGGCTAGCTCACACTACCTGGATCCGGCATATTTCATATACATCCGTTCCAGAATGCTATCACGGAGCTATTTCGGGTAATACAAAATTTAGCACCCGGGTCACCGCAAAACTTTACTCTGGATTTCA